TCCTGTTTACCTCTCTTTCCTTTTCAAAAGCGTTCAGGAAAGTTACTGATGTAATGTGTATTTAAATTCAATCAATCCAGTACTTTTAAGAGCTGCTAAAGTTAGTGATGATTTGAGCCTTTTAATGGAAATTCCTAACTGTCCAACACCCATTAGTGAACAGGACAGAATTTCTCCTTACAATACCAATACAAAAATCAAACAGACAGGCAATATTAGAGGATTGTTAGTTTATCCAATACCAAATTCTCCAAGCTAACATCAGAAGAATTGTATGAGAGACAGTAGGGAGAATTACTGATGAGATCTCGTTAGTGAAAGGGTTAATTGATCAGACATTTTTACCAAATGCTACCCATTGTGGATAAGTTTTAATTTTCAAGATTCTGAACAATGACTATTCAAGGCTTTATAATGCATGCCCAATATAGGATATACAAGGGTGAGACAGAGGTTAGGTCATAAACATGATGTGCAAATTTAAATAAGGCTGTCACAGCTTCTTTTTCACAATATTGAGTCTCAAAGTGGGAGTTGAAATGACTTGTGCTCAGGCATTGGTAAGTAATATTGGAAAATCAGGCCATGTCACTTGTGTTTGGCACAGATTGTAAACCTGCCCACTATCTGTTGTTTTTGCAGTGAGATTCGTCAGAAGTTGAAAGATGATGTTGCAGCCATCAAGGAAGAAAATGTAGGGTTTAAGCCAGGCCTTGCCATTGTTCAGGTATGGTGTCTCATTATCATTACAGAGCTGCCAATAAAAGAGCAGTGCTGGCCAAAACTGCCAGCCAGTATTTCTGTATTATAGGCAATACATTTCTTGCAATTTAAGTTCTGTAACTTTTAAATGTCCTCTACAGTAAAGATGATTTGCCGCTCTCTTCTCTATACTGTTATGCTAGACAATTGATAGAAATGTAAGGAGAAATTTCTTTCTGATCACTTCTGGGAATAAGAGGATTAAATTATGCTCTGTGTAAATTACTATTTATAGCTTGCTTTTCCTTCAGATTGGTGATCGAAGTGACTCAACGGTTTATATCAAGTCTAAAGTCAAAGCTGCAGAAGAGGTAAATGTAAATATTTAAAGTGAAACTGGATAGTGAAATTTTTCAAGCAAATGACAACTTGATCCACATTTATATGTAATCCCTACGCTTTGCACCCTAATATCAGTTTACGTTTTCTCCATACTTTCTTCATACATTTCCTAAGTTGCTTTCAGAGAGAATTTGTTTAGCAATCAAGAGCCTCTTTAGTTCGTGATCATTTCCTTTATTCTCATGACCTAAATGTTTGATTGAGAAGTTATATTGTAGAGAGAAATTAAATGCTGGTCAGTCTTAAGGGTCATAGGGTTAACAAAATTATGAGTATACTTTTTTTTATAGATTGGGATGTTGGCAAGGCATGTGAAGCTTCCAAGAACTTGTACTCAAGCAGATGTGAGAATTATGTTTATTAACACTTATAGATGACCTGATTAATAACTTCAGTTACATATTATGGTTGTACAGATGATACGAGTGTAAGAAGTGATTAAAGCAGCAACATTGTGGTTGTGTTGGAATTTAAGTTTGCTTGCTTGAAAGGAAAGTAGATTTGTAAGGTCTATGCATATTGGTATGAAATGTAAATATATTAAATATTCCTGTGTTAATGCCATTCAGTTCTGTCTTAAGTTGTTTTGCCAGGTATTGAGTTGCCCAGAATTGACTTGCCTAGAATTAGTGGTGTTTTCTGTAGTAGCACTAAACCAAGATACTATAACCCTTTACACCCTAAGATTGGCATGCATATTCTCCATACTGTTCTCTATACATTTCCTAAGGTGCTGACCAGGAGATTTTGCTTAATAATCAAGAGCTTCAGTACTTGTTGATCATTTCCATTATTCTCATGACCTTAATGTTTGATTCAGGAGTGATACTGTAAGGAGAATTTAGATCCTAGTCACTCTTAGGGGTTAAAGGGTTAAATTGTTGTGTTTCTGTTGCCTGTTTCTAGGTCATTTTTATAAGCAGTTGAGTAACCTGGAATAGAGCTTGATTTAAGCAAACAAAAGTATTAGTGGTAACAGCGGAGCTCACAGAGTATAGCCCCATAATTATACAAAATAGTAGTAACCCATCAAGCCGAAAAAATTTGGATGTACGACTGTAAGACCGTATGATTGTACGACTGTACGACCATACAAGGTGTTACTTTTAGCATGCGTGGTCAACTGTACCGCAGGCACACTAACGCCACGGCTTTGTCCAGTAGTCCAGTGGTCAGTTTACTGGGCTCCGAGTTGGACAACCCAGGTTCTAGTCCTGGCCGGGGCAAGGTGTTGTGCCCTTAAGACATGCGGGAAAAAAAATGTGAGCTCTGCTTTAAGGCTTGGCTAAATCTATATATTAGAAAAGAAGGCTATGGAGTTATTGTATGCTACTCTCATCCTGTTGCATAACTTGTAAATTGCATGTTTTTCTTGTGTTCTTTTACCATTAGGTTCTGAAAGCTGTAGATGAGCTGAACAAGGATTCAACAATTCATGGCATCATTGTTCAGCTTCCTCCTGATTCTGAAAATCCAGTTGATCCTGCAATTTGTACCAATGCCGTAGCTCCAGAGAAGGATGTAGATGGGTGAGATTTTCCCCCTAACTGTCTAACTCCCAAGATCTGATTGTTAATTCTCCCATCTGGCTGTTACACATTTCCTTGTAATTGAGTTACAAGAATTTGGCGTTATATCATAAGAACAACCTCTCACTGATAAGTCTGAGTATTCTCAATACTTGTTTGTTGGATAACATATGTATATTGTAAGGAGAAGTTACATGTAAATCACTTCTGGGAGTTAAAGGGTTAAGGTGCTTACCATAGATGTTACTTTATTTTCCTTTATTATTAAATCTCTGCCTTTCTGGATTCTTAAAGCATTAAACCTTTACACCCAAACACCATTATGCATCTTCTTCATACTGTTCTCTATAAATTTCTCAAGTTGCTGATAAGGAGAATTTGTTTAACAATCAAGAGCTTTAATTGCATGGTGATCATTTCCTTTATTCTTGGGACCTTAATGTGTGACTCAAGGGTGATATTGTAAGGAGAAATTATATGCGAGTCACACTAAGTGGTTAGTCAGGGCTAACAGCTACATGGTCTGAAAGAGTATTGTGAGAATCTTTACCAGGGATGGTAAAGGTTTTTACCTTAGACCTCAGTAAATTTTGTAAACTATTTATGTATCTGTATACAGTATTAATTTTTTTGGGTGATTTCTTCAATCAGTAGTTTAATTTTTTAGTTTCCTTGTGAGTTAACAGTTTTTGGGGGAGGTGGGTTTGGAAAAGGGCACAATGATTTATGAAAATTTTTCTTCTCTCTCCCTTTCCTTGTTGGGTTTATGCTGAGAGAACTGTAGGGGTGTGCTTCGTTTTGTAGCCATATCATGTTCAGGCCAGTGCTTCTTAGTTTCCAATGTCTGCTTGACTAACATTACTACAAGTTGTCGTTAGATCTCTGATCATGTGCTAAAGATGAAATCTGTTTTTTATACTTGTGATTCTGTTGAGCAAATTGAATTTATATTTTTGTCCCTATTACATCATAAATCTATTTTTTAGCACATTCTAATGATAATATGTCATTTTGTTAAAGGTTGCATGATGTGAATGCAGGAAAGCTGTCTAGAGGAGAGTTAGATGACTGTATTGTGCCATGTACTCCCAGAGGCTGCTTGGAGTTGATAAAAAAATCTGGTGAGTGACATTTATCAATTGCAAATATTTCAAGGAATTTATCACCAACATGGAGTAATGCATTATAATTATGAGCACTGAAAGTATGATCTTCACACTATAGTTCAAATCACAGTCATTGGGTTTTGTTTTAGAACCCTCTACATGTACACCCTAACATCAGTATGCATATTCTCCATACTGTTCTCTATTAATTTCCTAAGGCTCTGACAAGGAGAATTTGTTTAACAATCAAGAGCTTCTTTAGTTGGTGATCATTCCCATTATTCTTAGTATTTGATTCAGGGCTGATATTGTAAGGAGAATTTAGATACTAGTCACTCTTTAAGGTCAAAGGGTTAACCTTTTCCACCCTAACATCAGTATGCATATTCTCCTTACTGTTCTCTATACATTCCCTAAGGTGCTGATAAGGAGAATTTGTTTCATAATCTAGAGCTTCTCTAGTTGGTGACCATTACCTTTATTCTCATGATCTTATAAATGTGTGATTTGGGTTGATATTGTAAGGAGAAATTAGATGTTAGTCATTCTTAGGGTTTAAAGGGTTAAAGTGTCAAACTTGTCAAACAGGTACAGAAATTGTTGGAAAGGAAGCCATTGTTCTCGGAAGAAGCAAAATTGTGGTAAGTAAACCTGCAATTCATGATATCTTGAAATGACTTTTCACCTGGATGGTGTAATTCTAAAGATATAGAATTCTTAATTCTCTGAACTGATTCAGAAGGAAATTTATAGCTGCTGGAAGGGAGATCTTAATCAGATCTTAAGCATTCCTTATTTCATGATCAACAGGGATCTCCTATGGCAGATCTTCTCAAGTGGCATAATGCTACAGTGACTACATGTCATTCAAAAACTAAAGATTTGCCAGATGTGGTATGTTATTAGTTGTAACTATTAAGTAATTGTTGACTGAATATTTGATGGTGTGGTCTGTTTTTCTCAAAGCATTCAAATGATAAGCTGAATTATATGCAAACACATGCATTTCAATTGGTTGTTACTTATGATCTTTGATCTACTGGATCCTTCCAACATGCTGTTAGAGGAGGTCCTGGGGCATGCTCCCCTGGAAAATTTGAAACTCTCAGAGACATTATTTCTAGCATTTTGGGACATACGTGTATTTGGGTAACTTCATTTAGCCAGACATTGATGTTAGGATCAGTTCAAAAATACTTATTTTCTGTCTGTGATCATAATTCACTAAGTAGCTGGGGCTTACTGGCTTCAAGTGACAACCTTGACACAAAGTACTACATGCTACTCGAATCTTTTGGTTGATAGGTGAGGAGGGGAGACATTGTTGTGGTGGGAATTGGAAGAACAGAATTTGTCAAGGTATATGTTATTCAGTGTGTTATATGTTATGATACATGTAAAAAGGTACAGTGGTTCCAGGGATTTCAAAATGTTCTGAAGTAGGCATCCGACTCTGCAAAAGTAGGTGACTGTAAGAAAGTTCACTATGAGCCAAAAGTTAATTGTTTTGACCAAAGTGACCGGCGACGTGTTATTGAGTAGCTGGTGGAATTTACGATGTTGCTGGCTTGTTTTGAAAGCTCTGTGGTTCACTAAGCAGTAACTTATCCCAGTGTCTGTAGCATGAAGCAAGTCAGAGGATTCCTTCCCCCTCTTCCCCCAAATGAGTTGCTAGTTGGTCACAGGTTTTCCCCTTCTCCTTAGCATTTGTAGCATCAGTTTTCCTTGATACTCATTTTTGTTCCTGGGTGGAGAGGGTTACTGAGAAAGTAGAGTTGTGGCTTAGTGCTAGCTGCCAGCAAAATTTGGCCCTCAATGAACTTTTAACAGTCACCTACTTTTGCAGAGTCTGATACCTACTTCAAAACATTTTGAAACCCCAGGGCCAATCCCCAGCTGAAAATAGTCTTTTTGAATAACACTTCACATCCTGGCCTGGTCTTGCCCATAAGACCTATCAACTTGGAGTCCAGGCCTGGGTTTTTCAAAGCTGGGTTAAGGTAACCCAGGGTTAGTGTGAAATTTGGTTTCAGGTCTGAAAGCTTTAAAAGAAAATTCAGTTTGAATCTTTTTGCTTGCAACTTGATCATTGGATTTTTGAAAAAGAAAAGGGAAAATTTTTCCTCAAAGGCTTTTGAACAAAGAAGTAGAGAAACCTGGATTAAAATTTATCCTTGGGTTTAAGTGCTAATTTACCTTCAAACAACTGGGCCCAGAGTTAAACCAAGTAGCTATTTCATCTCCTGTGTCATAAACATACCTCTATTGTCCTTGAATGATTTAGTGAATATTAAATACTTTTTTAAATAAGTATATGTTAATGGATCATAATTTGGATTTGATAAAAATTAGCTTTGTTCATTTTGGTTGAAGTGAGTGGAACCCTTACCAGTGATAATTTATTTATTTGTATTTTGCTTTTCAGGGGGACTGGATTAAAGAAGGAGCAGTTGTAGTTGACTGTGGAATAAATGTGATTCCAGGTTTGTGAATAATAAAGAATGATCAAGGTTACACTATCAAGATGGGTTTTGTCCAAGGTTATTTGCTACTGACCCTGCAGTAACATCATCAAGGACAATGAGAAAACTTAAGAGGAACTGAAGATTGCAATCACATGTCAGTTCTTTTTTGTGTGAACTTACCTGTGTCAGCATTTATTTGGTAGCTTGTTGCGTAATTACATGCGGTAATTACCCCTTAAATTTTTAGATGAGACTAAAAAAAGTGGACGTCGCCTTCTTGGTGATGTAGATTTTCAAGGGGCAAAGAAAAGAGCAAGCTGGATTACTCCAGTACCAGGAGGTATGTTGTATTCACTTGTGACCAGAGCTGTTTGTTTTGTTTTGTGTGTTTGGTTTTTTTTTTTGCGTGAAATCTATAGACATGATGCTTCCATTTGTTTTGGACACATTCAGAAAATAACCTACCTATGCTTGAAATGATGGGTTGCAAAAGTAAAGTAGAGTGCAATCATATGTGAAGGATTGCTCAAAAGAAAGATCAGCTTCTTGTGAATGACTTTACTCTTGTGCAATATAGACTTTGCACATGTAGTGTTGCTGTAATTCCCCAATATGCTTCAGTTTATCCTAGTTGTGGAAAATGTTGAGCCAACACTTATGCCAGTATTTGTCTGATGTTGGCAGGTGTAGGACCGATGACTGTTGCCATGTTGATGAACAACACTGTTGACAGTGCTAAGAGGGCTCTACAAAAACAAAAGGTCTCTCCTACTCTGAGAATGGGCTTGTCTTTGGCCCCATTGTTTCCATATTTCAGGCGTTTTCTACGCAAATGATTTTTCTCTGTGCTTTGCTTGTATACTGCTCTGCAAATTGATTTCATTCTCCATACTGCATTAGTGTTTTGCTTTTCAGGGGGGAACTGATAAAATTAATTTACTGCTTGAAGTGACTCTTCATACTACCTAAAATCACAGGAAAGGATTACACTACAGTTTTAAAAATTTCTGTTAAATGCTGTGCTTAAAATAAGGGAAAACACTGTTGTAGATCGATTGTGCTTTGTCAGTGTTGTTATTAATGCATTGTGACACACATGTAGCAGTTCTTTATGGTGAAATGAAATTTTTGAAAAAGACAAAAGAATGCATACTGTAGCTATTTTCACATAGATTTTTATAGACTAAAAGCTATTTTCTGATTGTTGAAACAAATTGAGAGTAGGATAAATGTTTTCATGGTGGGTCACAGCAGTTTTGTAGGATGTTGGCAACCAGAAAAAAAACTGCCACCTACTTATTAGATTTGTCAGAATTAACACAAATTCCTGCTTTGTCCAGACATTACTTATTAATCATTACAAATGATTTACAAATTAAATTAAACAGACATTAGCTCCATTTGAAAAGTACTAAAAATTGTTGAGTCAAATTTGCCCAGTGCTCTTAATTGGGTTACTTTCAAATTGGTAATAGGTATTATTAATGATTATTAACACATTACTAATAAATGATTAATATTTTATGTCTTAAATGCTTACAGTAAGTATAAACATGTATTCTACATTCTCATAACATGTAACATCCAAGGAAAGTGTAAGAGTTAGGTTTAACTCTAACTGTCAAAACTTCTTTAAGGTTTATTGCTTATGCAACCAACTTTCTAGTCTAAGAATGGTTGTTATTTTGCGACAGGCTTCAACTTAAGTTTTGTTCTGTGACATGAATAGGTACACTTGTGTATGTACAGCTGTATCTAGAGGAATATCAAGGCAAATCAGTACTTGAACAATGCTAGTAATTAAGCCACAATAAGGGACAAAAGGAAATGAGACACTTAAAATACAAAGATTGTGAGTGTTCAATTATAAAAGTTTATCTTTTCCTGTTCACCTTGCATTTTCCTCCTGTTAACTGCCCCATTCCCTTCATTCAGTGCTGTACAAGAACAATACGGGGCTTGGCAATGACAAATCCAACTTTGTTCAGGAGGTTGTGAACAATATGAATCAGAAAGGGGTATAGTTTGCTCAATATACATGAAAAATTAGTCGGTGTCTCAACCCTTTTGGAGCTTGTTGTAGCCAGGCAGTGCAGGCTCACTAGGATGGCTTGTATGTGATTTGCTGGTTTGCTTGTTGTCAAAACCTACTGAAGGAAATTCAGCTTTTTTTGAATTTGCATCGCAAATGGAAATAGTAAATAATTGTAGCTCTCAATGTTTTTGGAGTGAGGGAAGGAGCTCTGACCAGGTGAGGATGCAAGACTTGATATGTGAAAGAAACACAAAAGATAAATAAGTCCTTCATGACTTATTTGGTTAGTTAGGAAGATAAGTCTGTTGTAAAAAGTATTTTAAAAGTACTCCTTGGTATGAGGGGAGGGTGATTTTAAACCTCAAAACTCTTCGAAGTGATTGACATGTAACTCCTCCCTCTAATATCCAACCATACATAATCCAGGAAACAGGTAATGAGAGTACTGTACTCAAACAGGTAGGAGTTGTTATCTTGAACTAACACCAGATTCTTGTTACTGTTTCACAAGGAAATGTGTGACAGCTAGAGGGGAGAAATGACAAGCAGATCTTGGGGATTATAGGGAACAGTATGTGTAGAGCAGGGGCTGTTGCTAACAGGGTGCCCAGGATGCATTTTTGAGGTTGAAAGCCTGTTCTGAAACCTTCCACTCAGTTGTTGGCAAATTGTTATTTGTCAAACCTGTCTGGTTGTGTTCATGGGGTGAGGCAGGGGATATGGGAAGGTATACTGGGGGAGGGAGAGCGTATTTTGTAGGGAAAGGGCTTTTTAGCTGGTATCATCTGGTACAATTGGATTAATTGTCTTCCCCTAATTATTGATTCTCTGCACTTTTTATCATTCATTAATGATACTTTTGCATCCGAAAATTTGGTGGGCAATTATACAATATCCCCCAGTTTAAATCTTCTTATGTTATCACCTTTCTGGTACAAAATGTAGTAGTGTTCATGCTCAGTGAACACTGGGGTAGAAAGGGTTGCATATTAATGAACCAGTTGAAGAGACTATGGTAACAGGATATCTCACAGAAGTTAATGTATAAAAGTGAAGTCAACTGTGCTGAATTCAAAATATTTTGCTTTGTAATATTCTATTTGTTCATGTTGGCTTCAATTGCATTTTTAAAAAATTCCATAATTGAGTCATTGTGCTGAGAAAGCGGCAGAATGCGCACCTTGTCCAGGTCCTTCCCTCATTCCTGGTAAACATGGTAAAGTGATCTCAGCTGCAATTTATTGGTCAGTGATTCATTTTTCAATCTCTAACATTTCTCTTGTGTAGATATGTTTAATCACTGTAACATAGCTATCAGTTATTGCCAATTTATCTTTAAAGGACTGAGCAATATTTCATCCAAAAAAAAGTTACCTTGTCGATATAGACATTGTGGAAAGATATTTGTACATCACCACTAAATTAGTTAAACATGAGTGAAATTTGTCAAGGCTGACAGAATTCCATAGTAAATGACAGCTGAGTAAAATTGGTTCTGTGATTAAAAAAGATTCTCTCTTGTGGTATAGGAATGCTCTAATTATACAGTGAGTACTTAATAAAGAGTTGTTGGGGTTCTCATAATACTGAATTAGAAAACCATTGTCTTTCATTTGAACCATCTTTGCCGGTCACTTTTAAATTCTATTAAATTTATTTACTTGTAATTTGATTACAGTAGGACTTGTTGAAACTTGTACATGTACAATGCTTGAGTGCTTGAAATAAATTCTACTTTGCATTGGAATTTTTATGGGGTCGATTCATTATGATCAAATTATTTACTAATATTATATGTCAGGGTGTTAATTAACATGTTATGCATTAATGGTAATTACACATATCATTCTAACCTTGATGCATTTTTGAATGCCGAGATGTACTATTAAAGGTTCAGTGAATTTCAGGGAATGCTTTAACCCTTTAACTCCCAGATCAAGTTTGTAATTCTCCTTACTTTCAACCATACAATTCGTATAATGTTACTTCAGAGAATTTAGTATTGGATGAACTAATTGTCCCCAAACTGATATTTTTCTTGATTCTCATTACTTACCTGGTTGATATTGTGGTGATATTGTAAGGAGAAATTCTGTGTTGGTCACTCATGGGAGTTAAAGGGTTAAGATCATTTTTCTAAGTGTTATATTGTTTTTTTTTTTCCTTTGAATTGTTGTCTTGCACCCCCCTGGTCATCACTCCTTTGCTCTGTGAGTAAATTCAGCTCAATTCTCCTAAAGAAATGCATAAGAAATATATGTCTGGAATATCCTTCAGAGGTCCTTTTTGTCAAAGGTTTTTCTTTGTTAGTTGTTAATTTAGTTTTGTATTGTCAAAATAATCAAGATGGAAGCAAAATGAGCATTTTCATGAAATAATGTGTCACTCTTGTTACCAGCTGATCAGTTCTTTTTACAGGGTGGGCCTTGGGACATTCGTTATCTACCACTGAATCTTCAAAGACCTGTTCCAAGGTAAGCTACTTTATTGCTCTAAACCACATTGTATGGCTATATTTTTTTTTGGCAGTTCAATTTTTTATTTGAATACAGACAGTAATCCAAGATCTCTTTATTCAACTTTGTGAATAGTTCAAGTAAATTCTTGCTACTCTCTTAACATTCAGATGCAATTTAGCGAGTCAAAATTAATTGTGGCTCAATCACTTTCTTTCATGTTCTTGTGCTTCTGTCATTTAACTTGTTTTCTATGTTATTTCTTGTTGGCTGACAATACACCCTATTTTAAATTTATGATTCACTTTAAATGTCTGGTAATGTAGGAAAGTTGTTTGACTATTACAAGTGTGTTGGATTTGGTAACATGTATGTGATATTTTGATTAACCCTTTAACTCCCATATCAAATTTGTAATTCTCCTTTCTGTTAACCATACATGCAATTATTATCATGTTAGTTCAGAGAATTTAGCATTGAATCAACTAATTATCCCCAAATTGATATTACCTTATTGCTTATCTGGTTGATATTGTATTGATACTGTAAGGAGAAATTCTGTCTTGGTCACTCATGAGAGTTAAAGGGTTAAACAAGATTTTGTTGTTCCCTTTTTAGTGATATTGATATCTCAAAGCATCAAGCGCCAAAGAAGATTTTCGAACTGGCAAAGGAAGCTACAATTCTTGATCATGAGGTAATAGTTGCACCTGTATCATGCCCCCCTCCCCCCCAGCAAGGAACACTTTAGTTAGGAGAGAGCCGTTTAGGCCTTCAAACCTGTACTCTGTTTGAGAAGAAATCTGTGCACTTTGCAACTCTGTGTTCGTCAGTGACGCACTTGACTGTGCTTGGTGTGTGCCACTTTTTTGTTCTTACCACATTTTCTTAAACAATTTCTGTGATATAGAACTGAAGAGATGCATGGCAACCTGGAATCGATTTGTTTAAGTGCCATCAGACACAGTCAGTGTGCACACGTAGCATTTTTCTTTTTGGTTTTTGTAGATAGAGCTCTATGGAAACAAGAAGGCCAAAGTTTCCCTTGATGTCTTGGAAAGACTCCAAGATCAGTTAAATGGAAAATATGTTGTTGTTGCTGGGTGAGTTGGGGTCTCTAACATGTGAACTGTTTTTGATCAGTAAAATCTCAAAAGGTAGTGAAATGTTGTTACTGGAGTAAAACTTCAAATGGAGTGTTGAGTACAACTAATACTTAAATTAATTTGAAAATTATTTAAGTCCTCTGCTACTTAACTTGTCAACCCCTAAGAGTTACCATAATCTATTTTTTTACCTATAGTATCACCCCTGAATCAAACTTCAAGGTCATAAAAATGATCACCAACTTAAGAAGTTCTTGATATTCAAACAAATTCTCTTCGTCAGCACCATAGGAAATTTCTGGATAGTAGCAGATATGTAATGAATTTAAGAAAATAAATGTTAAAAAAAAACATGTTTCAACAGTTCTTCTGTCATCTTCACTTCTGATTTCACTAAGAACAAAGTCGAATTTAAGGTTTAAAACAAAATGCTGACTGGACAAAACAAACAATAGTAACAGAATAATGTATGCAATTACGAAAGTTGACGATTAATTGTAGGTTGCACCCATTGAATGTGGATAACTTTGATTTTAACTTGGAAAGCTGTGGAAGCGTGATCTAAAATGCTAAAACATTCATCAGAACATAGAGTGCGACATTGTGGAGAATTTCATGTATGTAGGAAATTTATAAAGAACAGTATGAATAATGTGCATTCTGATAGTAGGGTGTAGAGGGTGGAGAGACTTATGGCAGCATTTTTGTCTTGATGTAGGATGACCCCTACCCCATTTGGAGAGGGGAAGAGTACAACTACAATAGGCGTGGCACAGGCCATGGGTGCACATCTCAAGAAGAACTGTTTTGCCTGTATTCGTCAGCCTTCCCAAGGCCCTACATTTGGGATCAAAGGTAAGGTAATTAGATTTTAGAAATCACAAATCTGGGCCCAGTTCTGTGAGGGGCAGATAGCAGTATCCAGCAGATAAATCATTATCCAGCAGATAAGTGATTGTAAAACATACAGTGCTATCATCCAACCTTCTAACAACCAGGACTTGAACTGTTGTCATCATGATAAACATAAAAGTCAAACATCTAGACAAAGGCCATTCTGTATGACTGGTAATCAAAAATGAACAAAAAAGAATATCTTTTCATTTTAGGCGGAGCAGCTGGAGGGGGCTATTCACAGGTCATTCCCATGGAAGAGGTAAGCACCATAAGTCCACTCAGGTCTTTGTGAGTGATCGTCAGTACACTACGTGGCTCAAATGATGATGCTCTGTTCTTTTACACTCTACTTTAAGTACATTTCAGCCTAAAGAATAATCACAACCTGCAATGCCATATTGAAAATTCTCTCCTTTTTGTCTATCCAGTTTAACCTTCACTTGACTGGTGACATCCATGCCATTACAGCAGCAAACAACCTTTTGGGTAAGTTATATGTGAATGACTAGTTATGACTAGACAGGGTTAAAACCCCATTTCTGTTATATTACACTATAAAATACCTGAGTTACATGAGTGCCCTGATTGGTCAAAACCTTTCATTTATTGCACACGAAAACCCATAGAAAATTGTTTATTTTATAAAAGCAATAGACCACACTATCTACTGATAACCTAATAAACTATGTAGGATGTTGGAGGAACATGAGAAAAGTTTGTAAATCACAAGCTGGAGACATTAGTGATTAACCCTTTAACCCTGAAGAGTGATTAGTAACTATTTTCTCCTATCAGTATTGCCCCTAAAACAAACGGTAAGGTCATGAGAATAAAGGAAATGATCACCAACTAAAGAAGCTCTTGATTGGTAAACAAATTCTCTTTGTCAGTATCATAGGAAATGTATAGAGAACAGTATGGAGAAAATCTATACTGATGTTGGGGTGTGAAGGGTTAACAAACTTTTTTAGTTCAACATCTTAAATGCATTATTAGGCCTGTAAATGGATAGAAGGTGCAGTCTATTATCACCTAGATCAAATTTGTAATTCTCCTTACTGTCAACTATACAATTCTTACAGTGTTAGTTCAGAGAATTTAATATTGGATCAACTAATCATTCCCAAATTGATCTTTTTCTTTATTCTCATGATGTACCTGGTTGATATTGTATTGATATTGTAAGGAGAAATTCTGTCTTGGTCACTCATGGGAGTTAAAGGGTTAAATCTCATTTACTGGGTTACCTCATTCTTTGGGTATTTTGTTAATAAGGAAAATGGAGTTACATGTGTACTGCAGCTACATGTTGAGATGGAGTTTGATATGAAATCTGGAATACCTCTCTTTCAGCTTCTGCTATTGATACAAGGATGTTTCATGAATCATCCCAGACAGATGAGGTGTGTGTTGTTGTGACAGAGTTGCTAACTTATTGATCATTTCTGTAGCTTTTTTAAATATAAACCTCTCTCAGTGTATGGTTAGACATTGTGCTGTACACCCAGACACAGCAGTGATGTGACAAGGTTGAAGATTACTGTTGCAGCCAAAATTCAACTTGAATTGTAGACTTCATGACGTGATCAATCAACATGCAACTTTTCCTCACAATAATATATTTTTTTGGTTACTACCATGTCCTTTAAACAGCCGATAATGATATCCCAATTAAACATCAAATAGTGTAAAATAATTTACAATGCAATATATCAATTTGTTAATCAAATGACCTTGTCAAGGAAATGTTTGTATTAGCAGCTACAAAATTGGAAGATAGAATTATTATAAATCAAGTCAAGAGGGTTAGTGATCATGAATTTGCGGTGGAAAAGCATAGAAGTGTGTTTAAATCAAATTTGAATTTTTCTCTTTCTGTCCAAGGCCCTGTTTAATAGGCTTGTACCTGAGAAACATGGAAAAAGGGAATTTTCAAACATTATGCTGGGAAGGCTGAAGGTAATTTTAGTTAAAAATAAATATAGATTCTAAGTAGGTTAAGTCAAGTTTATTCAGACTTTTTTTCAGGAGGGAATGAGTGAAAATAACACAGTGCAGTTATTATTACTTTTTTTTTTCACTCTTCCCCCCCCCCCCAAAAAAAAAAGAGAAACAAAAATATGAAGAAAGTTGACATAAACCACCCAGAATTTACGTTTAGTTTAGAATTTTATTGTAACTGGAATCATATTGTACTGTATCTAATATTAAGTATCTTGTATAATTTGTTGTAAATATTGCAAGTAACTGTATGTCCTGCTGTTAATGCAAGTAGATTTATTTAATGTATCAATGTTAGTGGTGTAAGTAGCCCACACTGTGCACATAATTGTATTTTCTGCAAATAATTTATTCAGTATGGTACTGATGACATAAGTAACCTGTATTGTTAGTAATGTAAATTTTGTTCTGTAAGTAGATTATTGTAATTATTATTAAAACAAAACAAAAAAACCACAGTGAAATACCTTCTTTCAGACCTTCCTTGCTACTGAGAAGATTGCTACCGTCCTCTCCCCCCCCACTAACTTACCACTACCTATCCTGCAATACATATGACAAAGTGTTCAAACTTTAGCGTTAGAGATCTTTTATTGTATATGCTTGTATACTAGTTATATTGCCATTCTGTTTTGATACTCTTAGAGGCTTGGTATTGATAAAACAGACCCTAATGAGTTGACGCCAGAAGAGATCTCAAAGTTTGCACGGTTAGACATTGATCCAGACACCATAACTTTTCAGCGAGGTAATGTAAATAAACTGGCATTGTATAACTGTAATACATACTTCTCTCTAAACAAAACAAAAGAAAACCTTAAAAAGGGCAATATTGACTCATCATTCCATTACTATGCCATTTCACAATATTAGGGCAATAACATGCACAAAATATGCTACTGTATTTCACTGTAGAACAGGGCAAAAATGTGAACAAAAAAGGAGCAAAGAAAAGTCTGCATAGCCAATCCACACTTTGGTTTTGTTTCATTTTCTTATCTCGGCTTTTAAAGCAACAAACTTTTAGGTATATCAGATTTTTGTGTCAATCATAAAAAGCACATCTGTCAGTGGTTTCATGCGAGTAGTTTTGTCTTTTACGCAGGCCATATTTGATCTATGGGGTATATACTATGCACAGATAGACTGTTGGATGTATTTTGCAAAGCAGAAGCCAAAATGAGATAACAATGGAGTAATAAACCCTAAATTCAATGGTTTTAACGCATAATACAAGTGGATGTTTCGTTCATTGTTGTATTTGTCCTCAGCCATGTTATACTACAGTTAAATACTATGCAACTCACTAAATATCCTTTCGTATTGTAAATTAAGCCATCAAATATGATGTATATATACATAGTTTTGTAATAAGAGGTATCCATACAATTGCCTGGATCATGTGAAATGCCCAGTTGTTGAGACAATAAGGAAAGCAAGAAAGGGTGATTATGTGAAAATTAGACTCAACCCAAACTTAGCTCTATAGGGACTGACAATTAATGGCATTCTGGATGTCTAGGTCATTAGGGATCACTTCAATTGGTTTTTATTCAGAACAGTAGAAAAACCAATTTGAAAAGTAATCACCGTGAGCAGTCAGAATTAAGGTTTGCACTATCATTACCCAATGAGAGCTCAAACTAAAAACCAAACAAATTGCCTGAGGAGTAGGAAAACATGATTGTTTTTTAGTTTTGCTTCTGATTGGTGGAGAGATTGGTGCAGGTTGATAGGACCAATCACAATGCAAAGTTAAATAGAACAAAAACAATCTGGTGTTACTTTTGATACTCCAGTTAAAATTGCTTCTAGTCATCCTGATTACATGAACTGGAGCGTCAATTGGAACATTGCACATGAATTGGACAATCAGAAGTAAATACTGCTGCCGTAGTTAAGCTTTTCTAATATTGGTTACAAATGTACCTATTTGGTTGTTATAAAGATGGATTTTCTCTTACAGTGATTGACACAAATGACAGGTTTCTTAGGAAGATTACTATTGGTCAGTCAGCTACAGAGAAGAACTTCACACGTCAGGTATTGATAACTAACCTAATGGCTTGTGCATAACATTTGTGTTGAATTGTGGTTATATTGGAGGTTGTTTATTAGGAAACTTTTCTCATCCATGTGGTATCAATTTTTGCAGACTCAGTTTGACATTACTGTTGCAAGTGAGATTATGGCCATCTTGGCGCTAACCACTGATCTGAGGGATATGAGAAAAAGGTATTAATAATGATGATCCTATTGTTTTTTTTTTTTTAATAATCAGCAACCCATTACACCCTAACATCAGTATGCATATTCTCCATACTGTTCTCTATACATTTCCTAAGTTGCTGAGAAGGAGAATTTGTTGAATAATCACAAGCTTCTTTATAAATTGGTGATTATTTCCTTTATTCTTGTGACCATATAAATGATATTTGGGTGATATTGTGAGGAGAAATTAGATGCTGGTCACTCTTGAAGTTAAGGGGTGAAAGAAACAGAGGAATATGGCTTCTTTGCAGGGGTTTCAAAATGTTTTGAGGTGGGTGTCAAGCAAAAGTTGTCGACCGTGAAAAGTTCATTAAGGGCCAAAAGGTAATTTCTTTGACCAGAATAACTGGTAACATGTTATTAAGTAGCTGGCGGAACTCCTGGAGTCACCAGCTTGTTTTGAAATTCCTCTATTTGAATCAAAGGTCACAAGATTACTGCTTGTGTAAAATTTGCCGGCAATCTGGTAAAGAAATCACTCGATATTACATCACTCTCCTCTGATGTACCTTAAAAACCTGTCTTCACTTCTCACAAACACAATTTAATAAAACCATACTCAGACTAAACTGGTTTCTCATCTTCAATGCAGGCTTGGTAGCATTGTTGTAGCCAGTAACAAGGTTGGGGAACCTGTGACAGCAGATGATCTGGTATGTATAATTTTGTTAATAAGACCTCAGTTGGCCCAGGTAGTTTGTATGGCTTCAAGATGACCAGCTTGCTGAAGTGGCCACATACCATGTCTGATCAAATGGGAAGCCCTCAAGAGCATCAAGTTTATAAAAGGTCTTGATCCTTTCTGTATGTCCTCCAGTAGGGTCCCCTTCATTAACAACCCCCCTCTGTGCTGGGCAACAGTGCTAGTTGCCTTTCAGTTCCCTTTCCTTTTGGTCTTGGCCCATAAGCCCCTAAGATTGACTAGCATCTAATTTCTCCTTACAATATCACCCCTGAATCACACACTAAGGTCATGAGAATAATGGAAATGATAGACAACTACAGAAGATCTGGATCATTAAGCTAATTCTCCTTGTCAGCACCTTAGGAAATGTATAGAGAACAGTATGGAGAATATGCATACTGATATTAGGGTGTGGAGGGTTAAACCAAAGAAATGCATACTACATGTCTATGTTTTTCTGTCAGGAAAAGAAATTGGAAAATCAAATTTAACTAGTCCTCCATTTGACTAGTGTTAATCTTTCTTGAGAACCTTTCAGCTGTCTGTGCTAAAGTAGATGTTTTTCTGGCTTATGTGATAAGTTGTTGAACCTCTCCACTCTGACTGATTTTTTTTTTCTGCTATTTCAGGGTGTTGGTGGAGCACTGACTGTTCTCATGAAAGATACGATCAAACCAAACCTCATGCAGACATTGGAGGTAAGATTTCTGTAGATTATGAACTGTCTCTCCTTTTTAGTGAAGGCCATTGCTCAAGTCAAAAAAACATCAACCCAAAAAAAATTGAAGTAAGGGTGCAGACCTGTGGAAGGGAAGTGTGTAAAAGGTAGCACCTTAATCCTAGAGTTCTGCATGGCAGACTAATATTTATATATATGAATGTAATTTTTTTTTTGACTTGTTGAAAAGGAAGGACTGCTCGTAGCTTTAGATTTCTCAGAAATTGCAAGGCAAGCCTTAAAAGAAAAAGCAACATCGAAAGGATAACCCAATCATCAATTTTAGTCTTTTTATGGTACGCTGATACTGTTCAATTTTACGAGGCAAAATGTAGCAATTTTACCTTTGGCAAATTCCAGTACAGCAAGAGTGTTCAAATATGTTTCCTCTCTGTTATTATTATCATTTATTTTTTTCAGGGCACTCCTGTCTTTGTGCATGCTGGACCATTTGCAAACATTGCTCATGGAAATTCATCCATTCTTGCTGACAGAATTGCTTTGAAGTTGGTTGGACCAAATGGATTTGTTTGTAAGTAATTACACAGTGTTGGAGATGTTTATTTGGGTACCAACTCCCACAATGTGATCATTATTAGATGAAATTGTGCAAAAAAAAAATCTTTATGTGTAATTTTTTTCCCTTTCTCATTTTAGTCACAGAGAGTGGTTTTGGTGCAGACATTGGCATGGAGAAATTCTTCAACATCAAATGCAGATATAGTGGTAAAGTCTAAAATTTACAAAAACTTTGATAAAAGCAGATAATGTTACTTACTGTGAATGGGGTTGGTATGGGATGAAACTGTGCCATAGGTCTTGCATATGGCTCGAGTCTGAAGGCTGATGGTTGTACTCAAGACCAAGGGCACAGTTTTTTCCCATATGGACCAATTTAGACTGGGAAAGACTTGTTTTTTCCTCGTGGTTTGCTTTTTTTCTGCCTTTTCCTGATTGGTGTGGAGACGATTCCCAACCAAGGTTGATGGGCTTTGAGAGCATGATTAGCCAATCACATTTGAGGAGTTTAATTGTGACCCTCTGAGATGCTTCAGGAAAAAAGTTTAAACCTATCCCTATAAAATCCTACCAGACTGTCTAAATTTGGATCACTGCTGAGGGAATTTTGATCAGGTTTCATTGAAAAAAACCTCAGTGATCGCTGCAGCCAATTGGAACACAGAGAAGAATCACAAGGAACCAATAGAGTGAAAACAAAAAAACTTCCTGTTGCACTGGACAGTATGGGTCACAAAATTGCTTATGGTTTTACCTTTTTCATGTGATTGGTTTGGACATTTAGGCAAGTTTTTAGACCAATCAAAGAGAAAACTGAAGCAAAATCAAATGCTTTCCCTGATAACTTCAGTCACCAGATTTGAATTGTCTTGTTTTTCATGCCTCCTATGCATTCCTTAATATATTAATAAAATTATTAATAGAATTTTCTATTTTGCAGGTCTAACTCCCCATTGTGCCATCATCGTTGGAACTGTCAGGGCTTTGAAGATGCATGGTGGAGGACCAAAGGTGATTGAGTTGTACTTTTTTCTCTTTTTTTCTTCCCTTTCCACACTCTAGGGTAGCACCTTGTTCTTTGAACCAAATGAAGTGCTATAGAAGTCAGAGTATAAGCTATAATCTTGAAAATTGGCTAGAGTGTTGTTAGTTTTTCAAACTGCAGTTTTCCTATCTTTTTAACAGTTGCTGAGCATGCTATTTTTATTTCTCTTCATTCTGAAGGTTGTAGCAGGGAAACCTCTCCCTTCTGAATACACCACTGAGGTAAGTCTTATTAACACTTTATACCCTAATGTCAGTTTCCACATTCTCCATATTCTTCTTTACACATTTCCTTTGATGCTGATGAAGAGAATTCATTTAACAATCAAAGATTCATAAGTTGGTGATCATTTCTTTTATTCTCATCACCTTAATGAACAATTCAGGAGTATTAGTGAAGGAGAATATAGATGCTAGTCATTCTTAGAGGTTTAAGTGTTAACCCTTTACACCCTAACATCAGTCTGCATATTCTCCATACTGTTCTCTGTGAATTTCCTGAGGTGCTGATAAGGAGAATTTGTTGAACAATCTAGAGCTTCTTTAGTTGGTGGTCATTTCCTTCATTCTCATGACCTTACTGTGTTACTAAGGGGTGATATTGTTGGGAGAATCTAGATGCAAGTCACTCTTTGGGGTTTAAGTGTTGATAATTGGTAAAGTGAGGGCTGTTCTAAGTGCGTCTCCACTCATGCCCTAACAAAGACTTAACTAAGCAACATTCCACTCTGGGATGTTGTTACAGTAGCAGCTGTCTGATATGTGTAGGTTGTACAGTTCCTGGGTTAGTCTGCCTCCTGTGTCCACCTTCATTCATCAAATACTCTTGCTCATGCTCAGGAATATGATGCAATAGAAAATTTAGATTTTAATAAAAGGCTGCTCTGATGTTGAATAACTCAACAGACCCTGCGTAAGTTAAAGCAGGTTAACCTTTTCTGAAATGAACTGATTCAAATTCTGCAAGTCTGCTACCTTTAAACTTGCAAATTGAGGGACTTTGGAACAAGCTTTTAAAATTTACATTCTAGCCAGTGACAGGTTTTGTTATAATCACAGGATTTGCTAATGTTCACATCTTTTCTCAACAGAACTTTGATCTTGTCAAGAGTGGAATGGTGAACCTTGCCAAACAAATCAAGAATGCACGATTTTTCGGGGTCCATGCAATAGTTGCTGTGAACCGATTTCCGTAAGTAGTGCAAGACCCTTGTAGAAGAGAAAGTCTTCCTTCTTTCAGTGGCACTAAAGTTTTCAGACTATTTAGAGTTGGATTTTCTTGTTTGTTTTGTCAGGAGTGACACTGATGCAGAGATTTCCTTGGTTATACAGCTTGCTAAGGAGGCTGGAGCTTATGATGCCATAGATTGCACTCACTGGGCAGATGGAGGTACATGTATCAATATAAACCCTTTACATCCTAATATCACTATATATATTCTCCATACTGTTCTCTATACATTTCCTAAGGTACTGACAAGGAGAATTTGTTTAACAATCAAGAGCCTCATAAGTTGGGGATCATTTCCTTTATTCGCATGACCTTGATGAATGATTCAGGGGTGACATTGTAAGGAGAAACTAGATGCTAGTCAATCTTTTGGGTCAAATTGTTAAAGTTCTCCATACTATTTTTTTTGGTTTTGTTTGAAATTGGGTAAAATGTGTCAGGATAATTAAAAGATAATCACATTTTTCAGGGGAGGTTAATAAATTTTTCTTGCTCACTTGCTTACATGCATCTCATTGACAAGAGGTTTGTACTGAATGAGGCTGTTGATCTACAGGCAAGGGTGCCATGGGTTTGGCTGAATCAGTTCTTAAAGCAGTGGAGGAACCTGTTGACTTCAAGTTCCTTTATGACTTGCAGGTATGTAAGCTCTGCAGTTTCACTCTACACCATTCTTTTATCTTAACATCAGTTATTGTTTGCAAAAAAATGTTCATGAATTGCACATGTATAATCATCAATTTGTGGATGATCACTGTATCACTGACCCTTCACAGTTTGACTTGCTACTTTAAAAAAAATGCAGAAATTAAGTTTGGATCTGAATTGAAAATAAGGGGTTTGACAGGGTCTGAAACACTGCCTACTATAGATAGCCAAATGTTGGTAGGGAGGGTTCTGCCTTTCTTTTATTAAGTAAGTACATGAGTAAGTAACCCTTATTAGTGTAATCTTTGTAAATGAAACCTTTGTTGAATGCAATTCTTTAGTTACCAATTGAAGACAAAATGAGAATAATTGCTCAGAAGATTTATGGTGCAGATGACATTGAGTTGTTGCCAGAAGCTCAGAAAAAGGTGGAACGCTATAAAAAGCAGGTGAATTTTTAATTAGTCTGTCTTTCCAGAAAATGTAATATTTTTGGAAATAGTTGTATCTTATTATCTCTCCATTGGGGAATGGGGACCACAGGCAGCCTGATTACGTTTTCCCTGAAAAGAAGCATACCCCAGTGGTTAATTGGTGGAAGGTCTCCATGATACCAAAATTTAGATTTTTGACAGGGAAAAGGAGCTTTCTGGGATGTTCTAGTAGGTTTTTTTAAGTTTGTATAAAATTGGCATTAAGTAGGGTAAAACCTCAATATAATTGTTCTAAGGGCAGGAGAACAGTGCATAGGTGAGAATGAATGTAAAGAAAAATGGGGATTCTCAAGGATGCTGAAGATTTAGATGGAATACCAATGACTGACTTAATCTGCATCCTGTGTTTGTTTTCTGGAAAAATGCTTTTTTAGTTAACACAGTCCCTTCCAAACCCCTCTGCTAGATGTTATGCAGGGTATAACTTTTTTGTTGTATGGTCTATTTCTTCAACAGGGTTTCAATGACTTGCCAATATGCATGGCCAAGACTCATTTGTCACTCTCTCATGACCCTGAGTTGAAAGGATGTCCCAAAGGTTTGTAGAACTATGAATGTCTTGCACTTCTGTTATACCTGACTTCAGGTTGCTTCAATCTGTTAACTTACCTTGGGATAACTTTGTAAGATGAAGTCTCTGGCCAGCCTTGTCTCCAGTATCTCTCCTCTTGTAACTCAACCTTCTTTCAATTGCATCCATTGCTTCTTTTGTCCTGCCCCTGCCCCCCCCCCCCCCCCCCCCCCCCTGGATAGAGAAAGAGGGGAAGGAGGAAGAGAGGGGTATTCTGCTCCTATTGGGGCATTAGAGAAAAGCAACCATGACAATTGTTTCTCTCGTTGTACTGAACACTTATCCTTTGCAGGATACCCTTAGCAGTTTAAAGAGTTTTCCTGCAGGTGCACTGTTATTCAATGTACACTCGTGGGGATAGTTCTTTGAAGGCCAAGTAGCATAACCCAGGATTGACTTTTAATCTGGGTTTCTTTATTCCTTTGTTAAGAGGCCTTTTTGGGATAAATATGTTCCTTTTAGTGCATCCAGTTAGCAAATTGTAGACAAAAAGAATT